AAATTTTACGTGACTTTTTTAAGGAGGGTTTTGCAGTGGGATGGTGGGTTTTTGGGGGAAACCGTTTTGACAACCAACTTGAACCCAAAAAGCTTTGGAAAAACCTTCCCTTTTGACGAAGACCCAAGGAAAACACCATTGTTTTTTTCCGGTTGTGGTTAAAACCTTGGTTTTCCGTTTTTTTTCAGTTTCCCGCGGAGACAGCCATTGCTCGATTTCTTTTTTTCTTTACACTCAAAAAGTTCCCCCCCCGGGTTTGGACTCCCGTTCCCCCCCAAGGCTCCCAAAGGGGGGCAGCAAAAAGCGTGCACCCGTTGCCCCCCTGAAACATTTGATTCGCCGGTGGGGGTAAGGGGGCCCCTTGGGGGCACGGGGGGGGCCGGTGGGGGAAAAGGCGGAAGAAGAGGTGGTAAAGGGGACATTTTTGGGCCGGACAAAAGGACGGGGAAAAAACGTGGAGGCAAAAGCGGGGGCTGCCTTCCAATTTTGGCGGTGCGGCTTTTGCCGGCCCCCAACGTTTAAAAACCATGGCAACCCGTTAAATGCCCATGTACTGCCCTTTAAACCCGTAGTTACAGCTCACCCCCTTTGGGGGGGCCCCTTTGCCCCTTTGGCAGAGCCCCGACATGCTCAAAAAAATGGCCCACCATCTTTTTTACATGTGATGCAGGGCTGGCCCCCGCCTTTTTGGGGGAAAAAATGCCGGCTTGGCCTCTCCCCGGCGGCCCCTCAACCCAAATTTTTCCCGGGAAAGGTGCTGGGGTTCCAACCATTTTGGAAAGGGAGGGACGGCAGCCCCAGAAACTTGGGACAGGGGGATTTCAGCTTCGGCCCCCGTGGGGGCCTTTTGCTAAAAAACCCTGATTGTCTCTTGGAAACGGTTTTCCCAAGAAAGATTTGCTGAGGGGAACCCCTTTGAAGGGAATTTGCAGGGAAGGGAGCTTTCTGAACGAGCGGAAGATGCCAACGAGGGGACAACCCCCTCCAAGGTGTTTGGAGCCTTGATTGGCTGAAGAGGGCGTTTGACGTCGGGTGAGGGACCCCAAAGTAAAAGGAGGGGTGATGGAGCGGGGGCTGGCGGGGGGCAAAACCCCGCCGTATCTTTTTTCCAGGGTTTTTTTCCCGGGCCCCACCAAAGGGCCCCGGACAAGACAAAAGCGACGAAAAACCGTTTGTAAGTCCCAACATTGGCCCCCGGGGAAAAAGCTTGATTTTTCTGGCCACATCTGTAAAACAACGGTACTTTTACTTCCTCAGGGGGGTTTTTGGGGGCAGGGAAAAATTGCCCACCGCCGGGTGGGAAAAACTTTGCCCCCCCTAACCCCCTTTAAATGGCGGAATCCCTACCCCTTTCCGTGCACACCGGCACCACAATTTGGCCGGGTGGTGGGCTGCAGTGGACCCTTGATCCTCTACTCCGTGGGCCGTTTGGCCCCAAATGAACTCGCGGGCCAAACCCTGTTTGCCTCCTGGGAAACCCCCCCGGACTTTTTTGTTTGCTGGCAAGCTGGCACCCCTCTTTTTCCTGATGTTTGCGGGGGAACAAATAGCCTGTGTACGACGGGTCCCCAAAGTCAAATCAGGCCCCAACATCATAAATTTTAAAGGGGTCCCCCCCGTAAAAAAACTCACCCCCTCCGGCTGCGTGGGGGTAAAGGAGACAAAACCGTCTCTAAAACCGGCTACCGACCCAAACCCCTCCTCGCCAAAAACTTCTTCCCCGGGCCCGCTGAAGGGCGGAATGTCCCCCCCCCGTTCCTGACCCCCCCTCTGTTAGCTTTTCCCCCTTAAACTGTAAAATGGGGGCTGCCCCCAAACGAAATCGTTACTTCGCTTGGGGTGGGAAAAAAACCCAAAGGCGGGGGTTTTTGGTCTAGGACAGGATTTCAGTGGGCGGGCCCCCCGGGCCTTTCCCCAAAAAAAGGTTTTTTTTGGTTTTGACGTACCCCCCAAACCTTTTGGCGAAAGGTTGGTCAGGGGTGACCGGGGGAAAAAGGAAAAGCCCCCCACCGAGTCAACCAACCCGATGACGGCGGGGTTTTTGCGGTGGGTGAAAACGACCGCTGGATAAACCCCCCAGGGGACACAAGGCCCTTTGGGCTGCGACTAGTGCTGCCTCAAACCCCCTTTCCTCTGCTGCCCTTTCCCTTTTGCCCTCCTGAAAAAATTTCCCTTTCCTTTGCCACTCCTCTGGTTTTTGTTGACATACTCTTTAATTAAAATAAGCCCCCCAAAAAAAAAAAATTTTAAAAAACGAAATGATTTAACTCTTTTTGAAACGGTAAAATTTGGGGGGAAAAATCTTTTTTCCGGTGAATCCCCCAAAAAAAGCCAGTTTAAGGGTTTAATTTAACAAAAGGGGGGGAAAGAAAAAATTTTGCAAATCTTTGGTTGCCTTTGGCGGGAAAATTTGGGTTTACGTTTAGGTCACTGGAATGAACTAACCCAACCAAAAAAATATTCCCCCGCCCCCCCGGGTTTTTGGTAAATGGATCAAAAACTTTTTTGAACGTACAAAAAAAGGTTGGTTGGAAGCAAAAAAGGGCAGTTTTTTTTTTGGCACAATCGGCAAACGCAGCACCAACTTTCCAGCCCGCCCCCAAAAAAAAAAAAAAGGGGGGTTTTGTCCCTTTTAAATTTTTGGGATTTTTATACCCTGGGGCCCCGGGAAAGGTAAAGGGATTTTTGTTTTCCCAAAAGTAACGATTCTGTGCCCCCGGAGAAACGATTCTGTGCCCCGGAGAAAAGTTTGGGGCCCCTTTTAAGTCCTCTTTTGGCCCAAAACTCGCCCCTTAAATTTCCCAACAGGTTGTCTCTCTTAAAAACCGGAAAGGCAAAGGGAGAATTTTTAAGATGGCCCGCAAATTTAAATAGGGGGCGGCTGTCATTGTTGGCAAAAATGCAAATCACCTGTCATGAATGCTTTTATTGGGTAAAAGCCCCGCCTTTTTTCTGGGCCCCTTTTCCCAGAGATCCCCGCCCCATCTGTCTCTGTCCATTTTCTCCGTGGCCACACATGTCGCCCGCCATTTTTGTGGAGAAATTCGATTCGTGCATCCAGAAGTTTGCCTTAATCTTCAGGCTTAGTTCGCAAATTAGAATTTTTCCAAATCTTCGGAACCGAATTCCAACAACACTTCGTCATGTTCTCGATTCGCTAAATCATTTCTCTAATATAGTGCCCCCACTCAATGGAAATCAGAAGGAAGGAAATAGTGCCAATCACTGGTGTCTAGTAGGAGAGGAATAGAGTGCCCATCATGGGGCAGTGTGTGTGTCCCAGATAGTCAGTGAAAAGTATAGTGCCCCATCAATGGTGTCAGTGGATATGAATAGTGCCCAATCAATGGTAGTAGTTGGAGGAAATAGTACCGAATTGTTTTTATATCAGTGGGACGGAATGTGTGCCCCTATACAATTGGTGTCTGTGGGAGGAAATAGTTGGACCCCAATTGTTGGTGCCAGTGGAAGCATAATGTTGCACTCCCTACTGTCTGTGCGTGTCAGTGGGAGGAATAGTTACACCGAAGGGCCAGATTGAAGAGGCAATAAGCAAAAGGACCAAACAGTATTGGAGACCATCTGCTGTACATGGACATACTTTTCCGTCAGCCAAACATTATCCTGTTAATGATAAATCCTTTTTTTTTTTTTATTGGTCCCCTTTTGTAAATAATTCCTAGTTTTTCTGACGATACTGAAACTATTTTTATCACTAGCTTGTATAGACATAAATAATCAAAACTTAAAAGGAAAGAAAATGCTTGTAATATATCACATGGTGTGCTGAATGAATCTAATATAATATTATGCAATTTTAAATTTTTGAATTGAGATTACTGAAAATCGATTCAAAAATTATTACATAGTATGTAATAAAATTCTATAAATTATTTTGAGATGCACTTGTATTACTGCAAATATTTCTCTGGAAGCAGGGCATAGATCCTAAATCCATTAAAACGCAGTTAGTTTTATGCCCATGGAAAGAAGAACATTAAGGGTTACAAATTTAACTAACTTTAAAAGGCAAAAAATAGATTTTTGTGTTTTTGACAATAGTAGGGAGACATTAGGGATTATATGGAACCATGCAACATCTATCGCACCAGAACTATGCATACTCGCCAGTTTTAAGTAAATAAACCACATTGTTTTCTATGGAAATAGCTTTAAAAAAATACTTTATAGCAGGTTAAATGCAGATCAGAAGGAAGGGTCTTAATTTTAAATGCAATGTAAAGTTGCACCTATCAGTGAGCTACTCGAATAATCCTCTGTAAGCACCTCAAACTGAACGCCATAGACACAAGACAGTAAGCTTGTTATACCACAGGTAATCTTCACCACGGAAATCAAAAATGTAATAATTCAGCAACTACTGTATTGTCCTAATCAAAAAAAAAAACAAAAAAAAAATAACAAAAAAAAACCCCCCTCAAAACTATACCTGTCCTCACCTAGGCTGATTCTTAGCTGGTTCATTTGGGTCCCCCGGCATGTAAAACTGGTGAAAAGCGAGCCTTTGCACTCCTTATGCCGGCATCCTGCACAGCCTGCTTTCCTTGCTGCAACCACAGCCTGTGACATAGTGCCTAGAGGCTGTAGAAGACAGAGTTGAATTAATTTCCTCTCCCATTATAAGCCTAGTCCAGAGTGTAAAGTGAACGAGGGTACCTGTCAAAACTAGCAACCAGCTACACGTATCCCCGCAAAAAATGATATATATTATTCCAAATTGTTGCAGTAGAGGGGAAGAAGGAAAGAAAAGAGAATGTCCGTCCCCTTTTGGGTGATAAGTTCTGCTTAAAACTGATAAGAAAATATAATATAGAAGGATATCCTATACCTTTACACTCGATACTATACCATTCTTATCATTAAACTTACACCCCCCCCCCATATAACCCCACCCTTATACCTTCCATCTGCTTACTCTGCACCTTCATCTTTCTTTAAAAAATATCTCCCCCCCCAAATCTTTTTTTATAAAAAATTTCCTAAAATTCTATCTAATTCTTAGTTTTTTTATTATTTTGGTCTACTATTTCATTTAAGTCCCTTTCTTTTGAACTGCTCAGGACAGTAGGGTGAAAATCATCTACACATTCCTAGATTCTTCTGAGCCTGGAAATTAGACAGATGAAATTGAATCGTTAATGAAAAGAGAAATTGCTGACTTTCATATCTTTACATATTTACAGAGGGCTATCTAATGCTTTTGTTTTACAACATAACAAACAACCTATGAATCATGACTTAAGGGATTCCTATTTTTGTGAAATTTTTTCACACTCAAAGTATATCTGAAACCTCACCTTGTGAATCAAAACCTATTCATATTTAAAATAGGAAATGAGAGGTAAAAAACATTTATGTGTAGATATAAAAAAAAATCTTTTTTTTTTTTCTTTTTTAAAGTGATCACATACCCTCTGTTCTCAGCTGCATAGGGAACTGGGGGAGATAAACAGCAGCATACTGAATTTACCAGTGAATGGCAGTGAAGGGGGGGGGGGGGGGGGGTGGCATGTCAGTTCAAGCCTGATCAGTGGATTAGCTCCCAGCACAGCCAGAAAACTGACCACGCTTTGCTTTCCTGCCTAGTGTAGGCAGTTTTTAGAAGGAAAGCAAAGAGACTGACAGGCACACTAGGGATTTCAACAAAGGAAGCAATACGAGAAAAACAGGAAACATTTTCATACAACTATATGGTACAGCAGGTATATATCAAGAATATGAAATGTTGGATTTACATATGGTTTAAAAAATCTACAGACAAATTACCAGGAAAAATCAAAAAGTGAACCTCCTGATTTGAAAATCCCTGAGTGCTACACATGCATAGAATAGAGACCACAAAAACTGATCTGCTTGACAGAGTTCAATAGTGGCGAAATGACCATATATGTGCAGTCATTAGTATTCTGTGAAATTAAGCATCTATTTGATTGCACAGCACATTCACTTATACATTTTTAACTTCTTTATTTTAAAGAACATCACTGCTATTAAAGTTTTGTTTCGCCTGGAGTAAAAAAAGAATAAATGCATTACAGGGACTGAAAAGGACAGATAAAAAAAGACTAAATAGATATTTCAATATCTAAGATACTAGAAAGGTAAAACATCTAACACTTTTCTCTTACCCTCAGGGGTTCCAGTGGGGCGATCTTGCATTTGTGTTCCCAAGACTACAAGGGGATCACACTATTTCTGCTGGATTTTTATTTTATGAAATATTATAGAGAACATAGTAGTAGTAGAGGAGAAGTCTTAAGGTAGGTGGAAATGTCTAAAAAGCCCAGAGAAGGCCTTGGCAGGGATATCTCACCAGCTGAGATCTCAAATGAAGGAAACTTACGGACTACACCTTTAACTACTACTTAGCTACTTTTAGGTGGACTCTAATAATGTAAAAAGTGAGAATGAATAGAATTAAATGATAATAATTGCTGGCTAAGGAGGCTACAACTGCATGCTTCTGAGGCAGCTCACGTTACTTCCTCAGGCATGGGGGAAGATTTACTAAAATCTGGTGCAGCTGTGCATAGTAACCAATCAGCTTCTAACTTCAGCTTGTTCAATTAAGCTTTGACAATAAAACCTGGAAGCCGTTTAATTTCTATGCAAAGCTGCACCAGATTTTGCACCATGCAGTTTTAGTAAATAACCCCCATGGTGTCAATCTACAAAACACTGTTTTTGGTGAACTGTTTAATGAGTCTTCAACCATGTTTACAATAAAATATGGATTTATGCCACATCAAAGCGAGTATATATAATAAGGTTTAAATATTCCCATCATGCTTCATATTGAGAATATACAAGTCTAAACATCTGAAAGACTTACCTGTTCATGCAATAAGGCCAGTATACCAGATGAATCGCTATCATCAAGATTTTCTTGAGAAATTATTTCATAGAGAGGAGCTTCATCTGGATAGGTTTCTACATATGTAAATTTAAGTGTTACCACCACATCTATAAAGACAAATAAGATACAGCATATTAGGACAATTATTAATCAAAACACTGTAGACTAGGGATTTCTCAGAAGGCACTGACAGTAATTCCTTTAAAAAGCAACTTCAGGAATTTTAATGCAGAAGAGTCATGCTTGGTCTCTTCTGCATTAAAAGTTACTTACCTGCCTGTCTGCCCTCGTACAGTGAGCTGCGCATGCACAGTTTACTGTACAAATTCAGCAATGCACAGGAGTGACATCATCGCCCCCAGCCAATGACAGCGGTCGATGATTGAGACCCGGAAACCCAAAGATGTCAGGTTCCAGGCAGGAAGCTCCGGGACACCAAGTTGCTGGAGTTTAGGTGAGTATAGCTCCGCTTTAAAGGACTTACGTTAAGTATCTCCAGCTAAAACTATGTAAAAGGTTTAATAAATCCCACCATACTGTAATCCTTGTTACCTGGTTTATAGAAGTTGGAAAATGGCTCACCATTTTAGGCCTTCTCTGATGAATTAAAAGAGTACATTACACTTGTTTGAAAAACAAGAGAAACCAGAGCTTTTTTAAACTTGCCAAACAGTAGTCATTAGCCACGAAAACCTATTGCTAACGGATCTGACTACCTAATACCCGTTCTCATACACCAGGTGTAGAGGAAAAAAAAAAAAATTACCAGAGTAATTTTAAAAAACATTAATTTATATATACTTTTAACTTACTTTCTTCTTCTTCTTCTGCTTCAGATGACACAGTGATGGAGAAACTAGCTGGAGATGTAGATAGAACTGTAACAAAATATATAAACTCATGTAAGCATATAGTATCATAAAGCTTGCAGCAGCGAATGCTATAATGTACAGCTTGAGGGATAACAGACTTCATTACAGTAACCAATCAGTTATAACAAGAATATTTAGGATTCTATATATAAAACGTTCGCTGACTGAATGTGACACGTCCACACAGCTCCAATAAATCTTGTGGTATTCTGTGTTATGCAACGATTGTGCATGATCGCAATCTCCATCTAGGGGCCATAATGCAGTATTTGTTTTTTAAACGCCTCAATCTGGGCAAAAAAAGGAATTTTATCACTAGAAGGTGCTTACAATCATACGAGATTGTTATACAACATAGAATATAGCAATTTTCCTTGGAACTGTGTGGATGTTTGTCATATTCGTTTAGAAACCTTTTTATACATAGACCCCTTAGTATTTTTTTTTCTAAACCTCCCTAGCGGTCTGATTATGTCCATATTTCTGTGCTTAAAGCAGTACATTTTTTTTGCATGGAAATTTGTATTTTTTTTTATTGTAGGCCTGTAATTTTTAGGAATAATTCACTGAAATCTGTCCGAACAAGAGTCTAGCAAACATCCTGGGTATGATAAAACTTGAAACATGAAATCATAAATTATAATTTAATAATCATAAAAAAATATTATAATAATAAATTTAATTCAATATAATCAAACCAAAAACACTGAAAATTTTAAATATAGCGCCAAGTTCGCACATAACTGAGCAAATTCGCAAAATCGTTTTCAGTTTCTGATGACGAATTTCCCCACGAATAATCACTCAATTCTGCAAGTGGTTCTAATTTACTATCGCTGTTCTCTAGCTGGTCTAAAACCGCTTTTGACCTAAAGGGACGCTTTTTGGACGCCATGGACCTTTCTCAGTTTCCAGGTAGAAAGAACAGTAAAAATGTAGGCAGGGCACAGGACAAAGCACTAGGGACAAAATGTATGTGAAATGGTTTGATACAGTAATGTTTTACTATGTGATTTTAGTGAATGTCACTTTTTGTCATTCAAATTTCTCGCCAGTTTCCGTCCCCCGTACGTCCGACGCTCGCAAGGGATGGAACCCAGATGACAAATGCCAGCATCCGCCGGATTACAATGCCGGGAACACTGCAGGAGGGACATCGCGGGAGCGCAGGACAAGGTAAGTGATCGAGGGATCGCGGTGCAGTGCCGCATGGTAAGCCCGAGTGTAGCTCGGGGTTACCGCTTGTGGTACTGAAAGTTTACCCCGAGCTACACTCGGGAATACCGCCAGGGAGGTTAATCCGTGGAGGTGCACAAAAACAAAAACCCGTTAAGTGTACAAAAAAAAGTGCAAGTGCAAAAAACACAAAAAATGCACTTAGAGGTGTGCTTTTAGTCAACCCCAATAAGGGGTAGGACCTCTACCCTGATCCCCCGGGGCGCAAGGCTCCTGACAGGGACAAAGGTTTCCAACATGGTCCACCTAGACAAAAGGCCTGGCGGACCCCTTTCCTTGTTATTAGCCAAGCCGACCACCAAGTACTTGGTTGAGGGGCTCTCCCAAAGAGAGGCCCCCCCCCCCCCCCCCCCCCCCCCAAGGATCGGGGAAGGAAAGAACCTGAGGGCCAGACATCCTCTCCCTAGACATCACGGCAGGCTCGGGGACCCACACCCTCCATCCAGTGAGGGAAAAAACAAAACAAAAAAAAAAAAAAAACCACACACAAAAGTGACAAAACAGTGGAAAATAAATAAAGTGTCTGTATAATTGTGCACTGGCTGGGCCCTGAGGCCGCACCAAAAAAAAAATTGCCCTGGACGTAGCCGAAAGAACTAGCCCTAAAAGGCGCAGTGCAGAAAAAGTGTTTAGAACAATGACCATGTGCACATTTCAAATCAGGAGAAACTGGGTCCCTCTAGTTTTCCTGGGGGAATTAATCCAGGGCCCCAACAGCTTGTGGGAGCCTTGTTTTCTCTTCCAGCCGGTACTAACCTTCAGAGCCCCCATCGTACCAGCAGGGGTACTATACAGCCAGTCATCCTCGCCTAAAGGCAAGAATGATGGTGGAGCACCCCTACTGGACACTGACAAAAAAAGATACTACACTTAATCTTAGCCAAAAGGCCGAGACGAAACCCCTTAGTGTTGTCATTTAATTTTTAGATATACAGCAAATAGGATTATTCATGTTAAGAATAGCACTCTATCAATAATTATTGTAAACGATGAAGACGAGACGGCATGAACGTGTATGAGATGCGATTTTGCATTGAAGTTGCTAGGGGGCATTTTTGCATGAAAGCCTTTTTTCCTTTTTTTGCAGATAACACTATTTTTAGCCACAGATATATCAGTGCATCCCTATTGATAACAATGCTATCCCAGTGTGGCTTTCATCAGCTTTTATTTAATGTATCTGCAGTGGTCACCGCCAGAACAAATATGTGGAGCACAGTTAGCAAGGCTGCTGTTGGCGATGATCACAATCACCAGGCCCAGCAAAACAAAAAACAAATGTTACAATGTGTACTCCTGGATGGTCACAAACACAATGAACCTGAGGAGAAGAAGAGCAGGAGGAGTGGCTTTTAACCTATGTTTAGTTTACTTTTCCTTTGAAGTAGGATTCAGCCATCTCTTAGGTAGCTGTCCTGTAAAATGATTAGGGAAAAAGTGTCAGAATAAATAAATTAAAAGAGAATTTACTTCCTTAAAGGAAACATCCATTTTCATCTGACACATCAGTCGGAATTGTATTAATGCCTCTTAGGCCTCACGCACAGTGGGCACAAAACATGCTGCATTTACAAGCTTTTGGCATTTTTTTTCTTCTTCAGCTTGTATAAGCAACTCTATGTTAGCCTATTTGTCCATGCACATTTGGTTGTTTAAAGGCATATTTGCAGAGGAGAGTTTTCAGGCTGAAAAAATCCCCATCACAAGTGCATTTTTGAGAGGAGTTTTGGGCAGAAAAAAGCCCTTGACATGCATAAAGACAGCGTTTAGGAATGCTCAGAGTTTACAAGCATACATTGATTATAGTGAAAAATGAGCATTAACTTTAGTGGAATAAGAGCCACTATGAGTGTTTTTTATACTGCTTTTTCTGCCTGAGGTTCTGCCATGTTTTCAGCTGCCGTGTGAGCATGAACCCTAACAGTTGGGTTCTAAAGGACACAGAAATGTTAGACAGTAAGAAAAAAAAAAAAAAAAAAACTCAGAAGCTATAACATCACAAAAAGAAAAGGAAACCAAAAAGGGGCAATGGATGTTTATGATGAACACATTCCATCCTAGGGATCTTAACACAGAGACTTGAATTGTTACCTGTAGAGTGTGGGGCATATGCATGAAAGGAATGTAGAGGCTTTGACCAGATTTCTGAAGAGTGCACTTAAAATTTGGGTGGTACCAACGATTCCATAGGGTCCTTTTACACAGGCCAATGTACAGTGGGGATCGAAAGTTTGGGCACCCCAGCTAAAAATTTGTATTAATGTGCATAAAGAAGCCAAGGAAAGATGGAAAAATCTCCAAAAGGCATCAAATTACAGATTAGATATTCTTATAATATGTCATCAAAAGTTAGATTTTATTTCCATCATTTACACTTTCAAAATAACAGAAAACAAAAAAATGGCATCTGCAAAAGTTTGGGCACCCTGCAGAATGTATAGCATGCACTGCCCCCTTTGCAAAGCTGAGACCTGCCAGTGTCATGGATTGTTCTCAATCATCATCTGGGAAGACCAGACGATGTCAATCTCAAAGGTTTTAAATGCCCAGACTCATCTGACCTTGCCCCAACAATCAGCACCATGGGTTCTTCTAAGCAGTTGTCTAGAAAGCTGAAACTGAAAATAGTTGACGCTCACAAAGCCGGAGAAGGCTATAAGAAGATAGCAAAGCGTTTTCAGATGTCACTATCCTCTGTTCGGAATGTAATTAAGAAATGGCAGTCACCAGGAACAGTGAAAGTTAAAGCAAGATCTGGAAGACCAAGAAAAATATCAGACAGAACAGCTCGCAGGATTGTGAGAAAAACAATTCAAAACCCACGCTTGACTGCACGATCCCTCCAGAAAGATCTGGCAGACACTGGAGTTGTGGTACACTATTCCACTATAAAGAGATACTTGTACAAATATGGTCTTCATGGAAGAGTCATCAGAAGAAAACATCTTCTACGTCCTCAGCACAAAAATCATCGTTTGAACTTTGCAAATGAACATATAGACAAGCCTGATGCATTTTGGAAACAAGTTCTGTGGACCGATGAGGATAAAATTGAACTTTTTGGCCGGAATGAGCAAAGGTACGTTTGGAGAAGAAGGGGCACAGAATTTAATGAAAAGAACCTCTGTCCAACTGTTAAGCATGGGGTTGGATCAATCATGCTTTGGGGTTGTGTTGCAGCCAGTGGCACAGGGAACATCTCACGAGTAGAAGGAAAAATGGATTCAAAAAATTTCAGCAAATTTTGGATGGTAACTTGATGCCATCTGTGAAAAAGCTGAAGTTAAAGAGAGGATGGCTTCTACAAATGGATAATGATCCTAAACACACCTCGAAATCCACAGGGGATTACATCAAGAGGCGTAAACTGAAGGTTTTGCCATGGCCTTCACAATCTCCTGACCTCAACATAATTGAAAATCTATGGATAGACCTTAAAAGAGCAGTGCGTGACAGACAGCCAAGAAATCTCAAAGAACTGGAAGACTTTTGTAAGGAAGAAGGGGCAAAGATACCTCAAACAAGAATTGAAAGACTCTTGGCTGGCTACAAAAAGCGTTTACAAGCTGTGATACTTGCCAAAGGGGCAGTACAAGATATGAACTCTGCAGGGTGCCCAAACTTTTGCAGATGCCATTTTTTTGTTTTCTGTTATTTTGAAAGTGTAAATGATGGAAATAAAATCTAACTTTTGTTGACATATTATAAGAATGTCTAATCTGTAATTTGATGCCTTTTGGAGATTTTTCCATCTTTCCTTGGCTTTTTTATGCACATTAATACAAATTTTTAGCTGGGGTGCCCAAACTTTCGATCCCCACTGTATGTCCAATTTTCATCAGTCTGTTTGTGGACAAAAAACAGACACCCATGTATTTCTATGGACTAGCAGATTTAAACAGATGATCATCTGTTTACATCCGTTAATATCTGCATCCATTAAGATCCATTTTTTTGAATGGAAGAAAAAGGTAGTACAGGTACGGACAGTGCTCGCCCCGGCTCCAAGTGTCAATGCAAAGAAAAAAGGGCTACAAGACCCCGTGTAGAGTGTAAAGCAGACTCAGCCAAAGCTCCAGGTAGCAAACACAGGATCAGGTTGAGAGCCCCAACTCACTACTATTAGCAACCGAATTGGACTACATTCACATGGGTGATTGGCACACACTGCGAATACAAACAGCAAGAATCTGTGGATTCCTGCAGTTGAAATGACAGGTGTGTTCCAGGAACTGTGGCAGCTCAGCCTATACAACACAGCAACAGACTGGAGGTGGCCACAGCTATTCATGACTGTTTGCACAGACAGCAATTGCCTGCAGTTACGGACAGATGACAGTGTCTGCATCCAGCTGTGATTGCTGCAGATGATCACTAGCTGTGCAAACAGTCACTGATTACTATTGCTGGTGATTGCATTGTATGGGCAGCTGCAACTCTTTGCACGCACTTGTAATTCCACCTCCTTGAAATGTGCTAGTCTCTTTGAATTCTAATCTGTGCATCAGTCCCACCCACACGTGGATGTACACTCACGGATGCACTTGGAGATCCACACAGCCATCTGCCTATCATTGATTTGACCAAGCTGCCTGCACTGAACACCTGTGCCACCCATGTGAGTAAAGACTGCTCTTTGTAAAGGTTTACAGAGCAACATGTCCAAGTGAATGAAGCCTTAGAAAATGGCACTTCCCACACTTCTAACCTCAAAGCCCCTGGTGCCCAACCTGCAGTCCTTTGGTATATGAGGTGCAGCCCCTTGAACCTCAGCAGTCTGCAGTGAGAACATTGATTAGGGTAATAGCATTGATCTCCACTAGCCCCATGTAGCATGTTCCCATTCTCATATTGTCTTCTGTGACATATCCCCACCAAAACATGTTGCATGTCCAAACTCTCTGACCCTCATTTCCTCTATAAGGTCTGCAGTTTCCGGCAGTCCTCCCAAGCATTACATACAGTACACTATATTGCCAAAGTATTGGGACAGCTGCCTTTACAAACACATGAACTTTAATGGCATCCCAGTCTTAGTCTGTAGGGTTCAATATTGAGTTGGCCCACCCTTTGCAGCTATAACAGCTTCAACTCTTCTGGAAGGCTGTCCACAAGGTTTAGGAGTGTGTCTATGGGAATGTTTGACCATTCTTCCAGAAGAGCATTTGTGAGGTCGGGCACTGATATTGGACAAGAAGGCCTGGCTCTCAGTCTGCTCTAGTTCATCCCAAAGGTGTTGAGTTCAGGTTAGGACTCTGTGTAGGCCAGTCAAGTTCCTTCACCCCAAACTCACTCATCCATGTCTTTATAGACCTTGCTTTGTGCACCGTCAAGTTGGAACATCCCCAAACTGTTCCCACAAAGTTGGGAGCATGAAATTATCAAGAATGTCTTAGTATGCTGACGCCTTAAGAGTTCCCTTCACTGGAACTACGGGGCCAAGCCCAATCCCTGAAAAACACCCCCACACCATAATCCCCCTTCCACCAAACCTTACACTTAGCACAATGCAGTCAGGCAAGTCCTGTTTTCCTGGCAACCACCAAACCCAGACACATCCATCAGATTGCCAAAGAAGCATGATGATTGGTCCCTCCAGAGAACACATATCCACTGTTCTAGAGTCCAGTGGTGACGTGCTTTACACCACTGCAACCAACGCTTTGCATTGTACTTGGTGATGTAAGGCTTGGATGCACCTGCTCGGCCTGCTTGAACCACACTATGGCCAAAAGACTGCTACAGCACAGTTTGCCAGTTCTGGGAAGATGTCCATGGAGTGCGTTCTGTGAACGCTGTGTCCTTTGGATCACAGATTGCGCTAAAGGGCCAATCACAGCAGCCCTTTACTATGTGATCAGCTGTGTCCAATCACTTCAGGTCACATGTGAATAGACTTGCTGGCTATTGGTATCCTTTTCCTCACATGCTCTGTGTGAGGAAAGAAAAGCCGATAACCAGCCAGTTTGACAGGGCTCAGTGAGTACATTGCTTACACCGATAATCAGGGCACTGATCACCAGTGCCCTTATTATCATTGCAGCCCCATCAACGCCGCCTCATCAGCTCCCATCAACGCGGCCTCAGCAGAGGCCACCTCATCAGCTCCCATCAACGCGGCCTCAGCAGAGGCCACCTCATCAGCTCCCATCAACGCGGCCTCAGCAGAGGCCACCTCATCAGCTCCCATCAACGCGGCCTCAGCAGAGGCCACCTCATCAGCTCCCATCAACGCGGCCTCAGCAGAGGCCACCTCATCAGCTCCCATCAACGCGGCCTCAGCAGAGGCCACCTCATCAGCTCCCATCAACGCGGCCTCAGCAGAGGCCACCTCATCAGCTCCCATCAACGCGGCCTCAGCAGAGGCCACCTCATCAGCTCCCATCAACGCGGCCTCAGCAGAGGCCACCTCATCAGCTGCCATCAACGCGGCCTCAGCAGAGCCACCTCATCAGCTCCCATCAACGCGGCCTCAGCAGAGCCACTTCATCAGCTCCCATCTACGCGACCATAGCAGAGCCACCTCATCAGCTCCCATCAACGCAGCATCAGCTCCCATGAACGCAGCCTCAGCAGCACACATCAAAGCATCCTCAGCAGCGCCACCTCATCAGCTCCCATCAACGCAGCCTCATCAGCTCCCATCAACGCAGCCTCATCAGCTCCCATCATCTCCCATCAACGTGGCCTCATCTGCGCCCATCAATGAAGAAGAAAAATTATTTATTTTCAAAATTTTATAACAAACTTAATCAACAGTTTTGGTATTTTTTCATGTTTGCCCAAAAATTAACACCCCGTGGGGGATTAAATACCACCAAAAAAAGCTTTGTGTGAACAAAATGATAAAATGTAATATGGGTAGTGTTGCATGACCGCGCAATTGTCATCCAAAGTGTGACAGCGCTGAAAGCTGGCCTGGGCAGAGAGGGGGTAAAAGTGCCTGGTATTGAAGTGGTAGAAAAGGGTTATAGACCGCTTTCCCTGCATTTCCAACGTGTACAGCAGACAATTTGTATGAACGGACTGCGGTACTTACAACCTGAACCACATATGAGAACCAAGGCTAAGCCTAGCTCTTCCAGAAAGTGAAGATGCCCACTGACAGGTAAGTACCCCTTTTAAGTTTCTGCCCCAACTTTTCTGTCCAGGTGCAGGGTACCTGTGAATTACAAAGCAGACTCAGAATCCAGGCTGAGGGGAACCTCCAGGAGGGGCTCTTCCACATGACCCTGCTCTGTAGGATCACAGCCCCGGGGCCCTGGTGCTGGCAGTGCTCACCTGTGAACGAGTCAGCATAGATAGACTCTAGAGCCTCCAGCTCATTGCGCTGTTCCTCGCTGTAATCCGTCATGGTTAGCGGGCCATTGACCGACGACGGGGCAGGGAACAGGATGTACGGATACCACCGCCAGACCCGCTTACTGCCACCCAGCCGGCCACGCTCGGCGAAGGATCGCTCGCTCCGACATCGATTGCTCTAGTCTAGACTGTCCCACCACCCTCTTAACTCCTCCAGTGCCGAGGACAACTCTCAGCACAGGGCAGCTGGCTACAGTACACTCGTTTTCCACTTTTACGTAGTTACCCTAGACACCCCTGTGTATGTGACAAGAGGGTCCGCCGTCAGGGTCACATGAAAGGGAAAATAGGAGGTAATAGCTTCTCCTCTTTTCTATCTGCTATTGACAGATTGAGGCTGAACTGTCGCCGGATATAGGCATCATCAATGAGCGTTTCTTAGCATGTGTGTGTGTGTGAATGTAATGGTCGTGTGTCAGGTGTGATATAGATCAGGCGGAAATAGGTTCTTTATGTGTCCCGGTGTTTACATTGTGTATTGTCTGTTTTCAGATGCATTATATTGCCAAACGTATTGGTCGGCCTGCCGGCTTTTACACACATGAACTTTAATGCCATCCCAGTCTTAGTCTGTACGGCTCAATATTGAGTTGGCCCACCCTTTGCAGCTATAACAGCTTCAACTCTTCTGGGAAGGCTGTCCACAAGGTTTAGGAGTGTGTCTATGGGAATGTTTGACCATTCTTCCAGAAGCACATTTGTGAGGTCAGACACTGATGTCAGATGAGAAAGCCTGGCTCGCAGTCTACGCTCTCACCCCAAAGGTGTACTGCTGTGTTGAGGTCAGGACTCTGTGCAGGCCAGTCAAGTTCCTGCCACCCCAAACTCGCTCATCCATGTCTTTATGGACCTTGCTTTGTGCACTGGTGCGCAGTCATGTTGGAACAGGAAGGGGCCATCCCCAAACTGTTCCCACAAAGTTGGGAGTATGAAATTGTCCAAAATGTCTTGGTATGCTGATGCCTTAAGAGTTCCCTTCACTGGAACTAGGGGGCCAAGCCCAGCCCCTGAAAAACAACCCCACACCATAATCCCCCCCTCCACCAAACTTTACACTTTACACAATGCAGTCAGGCAAGTACCGTTCTCCTGGCAACCGCCAAACCCCGACACATCCATCAGATTGCAAGACAGAGAAGCATGATTCATCACTCCAGAGAACACATCTCCACTGCTCTAGAGTCCAGTGGCGGCATGCTTTACACCACTGCATTGGACGCTTTGCATTGCACTTGGTAATGTAAGGCTTAGATGCAGCTGCTCGGCTATGTAAACCCATTCCATCAAGCTCTCTACGCACTGTTGTGCTAATCTGAAGACCACACAAAGTTTGGAGATCTTTAGCTATTGACTCTGCAGACAGTTGGCGACTTCTGCACACTGTGCGCTTCAGCATTTGCCGACCCTGCTCTGTTATTATACATGGCCTACCACTTGGTGGCCGAGTTACTGTTGTTCCCAGTTGCTTCCACTTTGTTATAATATAGTTGCAAGAAAAAGTATGTGAACTCCTTGGGATTACGTGGAGTTTTGCATGAATTGGGCATAAAATGTGCTCTGAACGTCATCTAAGTCACAACAATAGAAGAACACAGTCTGCTGAACATAATACTACACAAACATTAGATGTTGCCATGGTTTAATTGCACATAACATGTACACATTCACAGTGCAGGGAGGAAAAAGTATGTGAACCTTTAGACTTAATAACTGGTTGACCCTCCTTTGGCAGCAATAACCTCAACCAAACGTTTCCTGTAGTTGCAGATCAGACCTGCACAACGATCTGGAGTAATTTTGGACCACTCCTCTTCACAAAACTGTTTCAGTGTAGCAATATTCTTGGGATGTCTGGTGTGAATCGCTCTCTTAAGGTCATGCCACAGCATTTCAATCGGGTTGAGGTCAGGACTCTGACTGGGCCACTCCAGAAGGCGTATTCTGTGCTGTTGCAGCCATTGTTTTGTTGAATTACTTGTATGCTTTGGGTCATTGTCCTGTTGCATCACCCATCCTCTGCGGAGCTTCAGTTGGCGGACAGATGGTCATACGTTTTCCTGCAAAATGTCTTGATAAACTCTGGAATTTATTTTCCCATCAATGACAACAATCCGTCCAGGCCCTGAGGCAGCAAAGCAGCCCCAAACCATGATGCTCCCTCCGCCATGTTTTACAGTGGGGATGAGGTTTTGATGTTGGTGTGCTGTGCCTTTTTTTTCTCCACACATAGTGTTGTGTGTTCTTCCCAAACAACTCAATCTTGGTTTCATCTGTCCACAGTATATTTTGCCAGTAGTGCTGTGGAACATCCAGGTGCTCTTTTGCAATATTCTTTTCTACGTGCTGCAATATTCTTTTTGGACAGCAATGGCTTCCTCCGTGGTGTCCTCCCATGTACTCCATTCTTGTTTAATGTTTTGCTTATTGCAGATGTGTCAACAAAAATGTTAGCATGTGCCAGAGATTTCTGTAGGTCTTTAGCTGACACTCTGGGATTCTTCTTTACCTCATGCAGCATTCTGCGCTGTGCTCTTGCAGTCATTTTTACAGGACGACCAAGCCTAGGGAGAGTAGCAACAGTGCTAAACTTTCTCCATTTGTAGACAGTCTGTCTTACCGTGGACACATGAACATCAAGGACTTTGGAGATACTTTTGTATCCCTTTCCAGCTTCATGCAAGTCAACAATTCTTGATTGTAGGTCTTCTGAGAGCTCTTTTCTGCGAGGCATGGTTCACATCAGACAGTGCTTCTTGAAACCAGTAAACCCAAAACAGGTGTGTGTTTTATAAGGTCAGGACAGCTGTCAGCAACACATCCAATATCATCACACTGATTGGAGTCAAGGTTGGCTCACTCCTGGCTCCAATTAGCTCTGGGAGAAGTCATTAAGCTAGGGCCTCACATACTTTTTCCTCCCTGCACTGTGAATGTTTATATGTTATGTGCAATTAAACCATGGCAACATCTAATGTTTGTGTAGTATTATGTTCAGCAGACTGTGTTCTTCTATTGTTGTGACTTAGATGATATTCAGAGCACATTTATGCCCAATTCATGCACAACTCCACGTAATCCCAAGGGGTTCACATACTTTTTCTTGCAACTGTAACTATAGCTTGAATATGTTTTGGTAAAAACTGAAAAAAAATTAAATTGCGCCTGTGTCCAAATATATATGGACCTAACTGTATGTCTCTTTACAAATGCATACAATGATCACATTTCCCTTCAGCTTCCTACAAATCACAATAAATATATTGAAATACAATCTAGCTATGTATGTGACTTTAACAAACACAATGAAAGAACATCCAGACATATGTGTATCAAACATAGAATGGAGGAGACCTTCACCAGTGTTCTTAGAAGCTAAAAAGGCTGCAGTGGTTTATGGGAAATCTTTCTTTTTTAACAAACATGAGACACTTCCTGTTCTTTACTGATAATGGTGCAATTGCAGTGAATACCCAGTAGAAGGCTCCCTGCTCCACACAATGATGATATGCAAAACACCCGATGAAGTGACTGGCCTCAGGCTACGAAACAAATCCTCCTATAGACTATTAGGCACGGTAGGCATGCACCTAAAGACAACAGAGTCCAGCTGTGTCTTCCTGGATAATTACTGGCAACATATTTGTTTCCATCATCAGTAGAAATAGCAATCTCATACAGATTATTTCCACATTATTAAAATAACCTATGTCAGGTTAGCAACCAAAAATAAGGAAATTTCCTGTGTAAAACAGACGCTCCTAGCAGAAAGTTCCTACTTAGGGGTCCTGAATCCTTCGGCAGTGATGAAAACTCAGCCCTGAGTACAGGAGCTGCTGAAGGTGCAAGTTATTTTCCCTGGATTGTCCTGCATGTGTGGGTGGTCCACAAGCTGCAGTGCACAGCCCGCCAGTGTTGGCAAATATTCATTAAAGTCAGACTAAAGGTTTCCATTTTTTGTTTTAAAAATAACAACCATGTGATCCTGTGTGATGGTTTTGCACAAAGAAGCCCCGATCCTCCTCTTCTCACCACTTGCTCTACTAAGAAAATCAAGCAGCAGGGGGCAGTATGTACCTTCCAGAAGGTGCCCGAGGAATATTTGCTTCCCAGGGGTCCAGAGATGTCCTTCTTCTACTTCACATCTCCATACAAGACACTGAAGTCCATCATCTGGAGGAGAGAAGAGCCTCCTTCTGGTTATCCTCATTCACCGCTTTACTTCTCTTTTTCCTGGGAATATTCCCACTCCTTCCTGGTAAGATTGTCCTCCTCTCCAGTGGTGTATTTAGGTTTTGTGCTGCCCTGGGCAACACAAAAATTGAATGCCCCCCCCATGGAGAGAGCCTGACATTGATCAACACCCCTGCCCACCCCCCCTGAGAAAGCCTTCCACTAATACCCCCCCCCCCCCCCCCACAGAGAGAGACACTCACCTTCACAGCTCTGGACATCCCCTGGAACAAGAGCCAGGCTCTCCATACACCATCAAGCAGCCTGCAGCCTCTCTCGGGATCGCACCTGATCCCTCTGAAAAATGCTGCCCTAGGCAAATTCCTTGTTTGCCTTGTGGTAAATACACCCCTGCTCCTCTCCCCTCCCCCACCTTTCCATTCTTTTTCCTCTCCTCTTCCCTCCCCTACTATCCCCTATTCCCCTTTCTGCTCCCCTCCCTTTCCCTGGTTTCTTCTCTGTTCCTCTCCCTCTCAATCTCCCTCTACCTCTTTTCTTGCCTTTGCTTCTGCTTCTGCTTCTCTTTTTCCATCACTTTTCTTTCTCTTTTCCTTTACTCTCTCCTCTCCACTTTCTTTCTTCTCTTCATCAAACTATGGTGTTCCTTCTCTTCTTTTCTTCTCTCTCCACTCCTCTTCTTTCCCTTTCTCCCCTCTCCTCTCCTCTCCTCTTCCAACTCCTCTCCTCTTCTTATTTCTCTTCTCTACTTCTCTCTACAGTTTTCCCTCTTCTCTCTTTCCTCTCCTCCTTTCCTTCCTTTCT